TTGTCAGACGGGACACTTGTCATACCATACATGAACAAAAAAAAAAGAACCCCTCGTATCATGTTCTTCTATTGTAGTAAATATTTGAGAACAGTGAAGAGCAACCCATAAATCTACAGTTACCATTCCTGTTTTTATATCTCCACGCCTCATCCAACTTCCCTTTACAGGTAGGTGCTCTGCTGGAACATACTGCAATGGGTATGTGTGGTATTCAAGTAAATAATAACAAGAAACTGGTGTGACAAGAAAAGATGAGATTGGCAAATAGACACTGCAGTGAGAATCAGACATGTTGTTAACTCTCTTTAAATTAATATAATAAATAGAATAATGGTTTTTATTATTATATTTATGATCGGGTCAATGTGTTTCACTTATATGTTGCATGGTTGACCATAGAAACTGACCTAAATCTGACTGTAGCTTTATTTCATCATTCATTTTCTCTTTCTCTTGAGTCAAGTATTTTTCCATGTTTTCCATGGACACAAGAACGAATAACACAAGTGTCCTGGCCAAGATAAGCAGCAATAACAATGAGTTACAGACAAACAACTAAGACAAGATATGCCACAAGATCAGAGTTTAACAGAAAACATTTTAATATATATATATATATATATATATATATATATATATATATATAATTAAAAAAATATTGGGACAATTATATAAAAGATTTTATCGAGAAACAACTGACACTTTAAAACAACCCAATAACCATCTAACCATAAAAACTACGCACGACTAATAACTTAATGAGGCTGCCTCTAAAACTGTTGAACAATGATTTATTTCTATTTGCATTTTAATACGTGGGAACATATATAATAAGTCTAATATTAATTTGTTCAGTAGTATTATAACAAGACTAAGGGTCTATGCTCGCAGCTCTGTGAGGGTATACTTAGACACAGTGGTGCTTACTTACGCTAAATGCTAACACATTCATAATGACAATGCAAATATTCTAATGTTTAGCAAGTATGATGTTAATAGTATTTATAATTATATAATGTTCATCTTGGTTTACTTAGCACTAAACATGAACTAGCCTATAATGGGAATGTTTGCTTAGGTATGTTGTTGATAAACCAAAAACAAAATGAATAAAATTGGACGGACATATCAAATGTTTGACCTGATGACAGCGCTAAATAAGAAGTTAAAAGATAATGAAAGTAACTACAATTTGTTTCATTGGGAACGTGATTGTCTTTACTAAATTTATAGCTAAATTAAATAGTAATTTTTCAAGTCAGGTTTCACTAAAAGCTTATTGTGGCGCTAGAGAGAAGGTTAGGGGATCACCAAAGTCTGGGGGTTTCATCCACTGGGGACCAAGCATGGTTTTGTCCCAATCCATCCAATTATTGATGAGATATTTCAATCTGGACCAGTTGGTGGACCGACCAGCCAACAGACCAACGCTGCCACACGCACTTGCAGCGTAGCTAGAGGTGATTGACAGTTCCAGTTATTATCATATGAGGGTAAAGGTTCATGACATTCCTTTTATAGCACTGGCTGAAATGGTGCCAGGGACAGATTGTAATGTGCCTTTTGCTTCAATAAGACTCGGAGATAGCAAACTGGAACGCTGCCTTCATTCTTGACAAGCCTAGCTAGCGTAGATATACATCAGTAAATGCCAGTGACATTTGATTTAGAGCAGTTTAGAAAAAGGGAACTGAGCATAAAACATTTCTACCATGAATGGATGGCAGCTCAAGTAGTCTAATTTTACTTCCTACATTTTCTGTATTTGTATACACTGTATGAAAACCAGAACAGAGGTCACAACCCTGTGAATAAGATGGCAACTGTTCTAAGAAATAACGTGTACCAGATAACTCAATAAACCTACTTCTTGGAAAAGTGGTGTTAGGATTCTCTGGTTTATAAGAAACATAATAACCTCCAGGTTAGTGAGAATGAAAAGCTAATCTCATCCACAAAAGTTTCAGGTACGCTCTGTGATTTTGTCCTCGAAATCCCCAAATTCCCCCCCAGCTCAACTGTGAACTGTGTTGACTTTGACCATTCAAGGAGCTGTTTTGTCAAGAAGTGTTGCAATGTGCTTTCTTGAACCGGCCATTTTCCTTCACACTGACTTGTAATAACCTCCTGAGAGGGTTGTAAACTTGTTGGTTTCACTCACAAGTAACAGTCAAGACATTTAAATTAACGCTTGCCAATTAGTTTCTGAACAACTGGGTGTGTCTGTAATAGCGCCACACCCACTGATGATGATGTCTTGTGGCTAATTGTGGAGTTTAAGAAAAGGCTTTGCTCCATATCTGAGGGACTGATTTAATGATTTACACAGCTGAAAATTCTTTTGTACCAGGAATGCTACTGTTGTTGCTGTGCACCCCTGTCTGTCTGTCTGTCTGTCTGTCTGTCTGTCTGTGTCTCTCTCTCTCTCTCACCCCAACTGGTCGAGGCAGACGACCATCCATCCTAGGTTTCTGCCTCTTAAAAGGCAGTTTTTCCTTGCCCCTGTCGCCAAGTGCTTGCTCATGGTGGTACTGTTGGGTCTCTGGAAATAATGGTAAAAGGAGTTCGGTCTAGACCTGCTCTATTTGAAAAGTGTCCCGAGACTTCTGTTATGAATTGGCGCTATACAAATAAAATTTAATTGAATTGAATATGATCCAGAGTAATAGAGTCTACAGCTATGCTAGCAGTTCTGTGTGGCTGTAGTTTGGTACAGCGTTGCATTGAGCTAAATCAATTTGGTTACATTTAATCTAGATGGGAACATTGTTATCTTTTCCTATTGGCATAATTATAAAGACATTTTACTGAAAAAGCAAAATATCAACCATGTGGTGGAACAATAAGCAAATATAGGATTAAGGATTACCAAAGTCATCAGAATATATTGTCTGGAAAACCACAAATACCTGTACGAGGTTTGGTGCAAATCCATTAAGTAGATTTTGATATTTCACTGAATAATTCGGTAGCTGTCGAGATATTTTAACATCATGGTGATGCTAGAGGAAAAGTCACCAAAGTTATTAGGATTCATCCTCTGGGCACCATGAAGGTCTGTCCAGAAATTCAAGGCAATCCATCCAGTAGTTGGTGACTGACTTTTCCTTCATATTTTAGTATTTTTTGAGCACTAAACAACCAGATAGAGCTGGAAAGACAAGGTAGCCTACATTGCTGATTGATTTTAATAAACTGAATGTTTTAAGTGGGATTAAACATGTAAAGTGTCCAACACTCTTCCCCTCTCTGAACAGTGCTTTGACCGCCCAATCAAGTGGGGCAATTAAAGACCTCATTCTCTGTTTGCTCTCAGTGAATGGTTCTCTCACTGGGCTCACCAAATAGACTATACATCCAGTGAAACATGCCTCAACAAGAACTGCAGCTGCACTCCTGCCTATGCGACGCTTTGGATGCTGACTCTGTTTTTGTTGCCCGTTGTGAGATATGTAGGGAGGGTGGGTGCCTGTCTGAGATGGTCCATTATGTCACCGGTGCCCCAAGAATAGTTCCAGTGTGCCCCGCTAGGCCATGAGGCGAGTGTGACGTTCAGAACTTAACTGTTATTGGGCCAAACCCAGAAGAAACAGGGGCCCTACTGTTTCGCCACGTCAGGCACACCCAGCCACACACACGCACACACACACACACACACACACACACACACACACACACACACACACACACACACACACACACACACACATACAGATGCACAGACGCATACACACATGGAACCGTTTAAAGTTTTCCTTCTGCCACTGTTCAAAATGCCCCCAGAATAAACACTTGAAGCAGATCTGAACCAGTGAAGCCAGTGATCCCCATTAGAGACGGGCTGTGACGCAATGTGATGGTAATGAAAGGTAGTGGGTTTCAGATGTTTCCTCAGCCTGTTATTGTACTTATAGAAAGTAATGTGAAACTTTCAGTCGGTAGAGCATAGTGTCATGGGCTTGAGAAATAATGACCACTAATATATCCTTATAAATTGCTTACATTTTAAACATACATGTAAAAATACATGGGAAAAAAAGAACAATTTTGATAATGTTTTATGTTATTTAGAAATAAAAAAAAGCCAACAAATCAACAAAACCAGACATTTTTAAAATGTCAACTTAACAGCCATTTTTTAATAGTTGAAAAGTTAAAGTTACTTAATAATTGATTGATAATAAAAGTAGTTGTTTGTTGCACCTTTACTCTGAATAAAAACAGTATATTCATTGCCTTACCCAGTTACTATGAATGTTTGTTAGATGAGATTTTACCAGTGTTTATATTTACAGGATAAATTGCTGTTTTGCCACTTTTGGTTTATGAAAGGCGATATTTTATACAAATGTATCCTTTTTTTAAATGTATTTTAAGATGCAAATTTGAACACCCTTACAAGTAGTGGATTACTGGTAGGCCAGACTTAAAAATGTGCTGTCAAACATAGTTCAAACCCTACATGTTACTTCATTTTAAATTCTAGTGAAGTTTCAAAAAAATACCAAATATGTCAGGTCGAATTATTTGTTAAATTACATGAACATCTAGAGTATTTCCATTTTAAGGAACCATAAAAAAACTGTTTTTGAGTTTGAATGTTTCACTCAGTGCAAACATCAGTCTATCATACTGTCACACAGTGTGACATGAGATGACTTTAACTACCCTAAAGCTACTTAAAGAGGCATAAACTGAAAAAAAAACAAAAACTAGGGATAGGGAGTTTAATGTGTATGTAAATATGGACATAAGCAAGGTATATAAAGCCATAAAAGACACCAATACCAGTAAAAGACTAAATATTGGTCAGTTGTTATCCATGCTGCCATGTACTGTAAATCCCTCCTGTATTGTAAATTATAATCTCCCCCCTCCTCACCACCCCCACAGGTCCTCCCTCCGCGCGCACCAACCAGCCTCCTCACCGCTCAGACGCAACCGCTCGTCCACGTGTGACGAGCTCGCGCCTACGCGGTTTTTAAAACGGTCCTTCCCACGGGCTGTCTGATTCACTCACCTCACACACACAGAGAGCAAAGAGAGCATGATTCAGTCTGCGCATAACTAACTAAACTGTCTCCGGCGCTCTTCGGTCGTTCATGTGCGCACGAGGAACTCTGAGCTCACGGGGGAGAGAAGGAAAAAAAAAAAACCTGGAAGAGTTGGTGGACGTCGGTCGGTTCATTTAAAAGATAAATTGACAGTCAAACGGGGTTTTGTAGGAAGGAGCGGGATAGCAGACCTCCACCTGGACAGTGTGTTTAAAAAAAGGATCACGGGACGGTTCACCTGAGGCGCACGAGGACATCGTTTGCATGAAACTGTGGCCAGGTAAGACTTAATTTAGGAAAAGTAGAAATTTAAATAATAAAACCTAACATATAATGACAGTTAATAAAAGACATCATACTTTAAGACTCGTTGCGAACATGCACTTAGAAATATAACTGGGTTTTGACAGTGTGGCCGTTGTTTTCACCCCAAATAGTGGAGGACGCTTCGGGGCTCGCCGAACCACACTCTAAAATCTTACGATTTAATGTAAACTTGCCAATTCCTCAGAGTACATGTGGCTTCGCATATTTAAGAGTTGTTGAAGTAATAACCAGGCTATGTTGGTTTATTCGGCATAAAAAGAAGCAGAACATAAAAAGTGTTAAAATGGTATGCCTTTGCTCCATCAACTGCTTTTTAGGTCAAGCAAACCAAACTCCTTACATGCAAGTTTCATCTAAATAAGTTATGCCTTATGGGGTGAATCCTGATGTAAAAAACTGACCCTTAATGTAACCTCTTAGACATTTTTCGTTACTGTATTTATATTTTTGCTACATAACTAGGATTAAGTGTCTCCATATGATTGGCAGAATAAGTGTTTAAGGTAAATTTATAAGCAGAAATGTTATGTCCACTTCCAAAGGCTCCTTACAACAACAGGATTTGGATGTGACAGCTCTTTGCACATTTAGGAAACATTAAGGATAGTTGTCTATTCAGATCACAAGAAGTTACTTGCACATGAGGTCTTACCTGGATCCATATTTGGATTATTTGTTTGATTATTGTGCGAAGGCTGCGCAGGGACAGGGAAACCCAATATTGTACAGTAGAATCCCAAATGCAAAATAGTGAGCTATTTCTGTGTGTGTTTTTAAGTGAAAGTTGTGTGTCTGCCAGTACTTGTACATGTTTGTAACCCACACGTGTAACCGTATGTGTGCATGTCCTGGGTCGGCCCAGACTCTAGGTTAAACTTGCATCCCTTCTGTGATGTGACACACTCTCAAAAGCATGCCATTGTTTGTTGGAGAAATATTTAGGAGGGGAATGCAAAGCTGTTTCCTGCACATGGGGGTAGACTAACAATGGCCACTACCTTGGAACAGTCGGTGGCAGTCTCTCTGCAACTCACTTCTGAGGACGGAGCTAGGATGTTGAAAGAATGGCCAAGAAAAGAGAAAGGGGAAAAAATAAAGTGTAACACAATGGAGAACAGGCAGTTCTTAGGGTTTGTAGGATGGGAGACAATGGGAGGCCAGATATGGCGGTTACATAAGATTTTAAGCAAGCAAGGTCACAGAAGTCCTCCAGTAACTATGGCGATATGAGTGTTTGTAATAATTGGCATTGGGTTGAATTTAAAGAAGGCTACGTACCTGTGATTACCTTTTTGTGTCACTTGTGTGTGTGTTACAGTAACCGTCCATTTTTTTGGCATGTTTCCAGTTCATAAGGGTGTTTTGTATGTCTCACAAGGGCTCACTGCTGTGAGGACAAAGCCCAAGTCAAACCTGACTGTAAATATTTAATGTCTGTCTGTGGTGAATGATCTTCCTCACTGAATGCGTCACATTTGTAACTGATCCTGTTTGGTGGCCTTTGTTGTTTCACACTGCGGTACAAGTTGTGCTGACTGCATGTTTTTTTTTCCTCATCACTGAGATGGCAGCATGAGATTGCACAAAAAAACAAATCAAGAGTTGCTTCATACCTACACCAGTGTCAGAACAATCATTTACATACATGTACCCTTTCCCTTTACCTTATTTAACTCTGAACTAAGCTTAAGCATCTGTTTTGCTCAATTATTCATGCTTTTAAAATGGATCTGCTAACGACACTGTCTTTATCTCCTCAATTTCAGATAAAAGCAGTGGATGCAACTACGCTCCATTCTTAGAAAAAAGGTGGAAAAGTGGGAGAGGCTCTGAAGAGGACCAGTTGACCACCGGCAGATACACCTCAGCTCAAACATCCTCCAAACCAAGCCCGAAACGCACCATGTCCCTCAGCACTTTTCACCTCATGCAGACCCTTAAGAACTCTCCCGCCGCGCTACGTCGCCGCTTTCGCCGCGACCGCACAGAGTCTTTGTCCCACGGTGACCCCCTCTTCAAGGTCCACTACCTGGGCACGGAGAAAATCTTCTCTCTGGATCGAGAGCAGGCTCAGGACGCCATTAGCCATTTGCTAGAAGGTATCGCCAACGGGAAGAAGCCGAGCAAAGATCACGCCCTGGTGGTGCGACCAAGATACGTCGAGGTCAAGGAACTGAGTACGGGTCGGCAGCTCACTAAGACGTACCTGCAGGACATTGCGTACTGTGCCGCGGATGCCAACCGGCCCAATGTGTTCCTGTACATCTGCAAACATCACGGGCAGCAGCTGCAGTGTCGGGTGTTCTGGTGCAGCCGGGCAGAGCGGGCTCGAGACATGACTGCCTGTCTGGCACATTCTTTCCAGCAAGCGCTGAGCGACTGGCAGCAGGACGGCTCGGCCACGTTGCAGCAAGGAGAGATGAAGGGGAAACGAGTAGAGGAGTCGTCCAACTCTCCCGCCAACACGAAAAGCTCCACGCTGCCTGCCAGTCTGGGAAAAGGTGAGGCGACAATGCTGCTTTATGAAGGCAGAGAGCAGTAACTACAGAAGTCATACGGCTGCAGGGGTGGCAGCTGCTATGCTAAGCTAGGCTAGTTACCGTTTAGCCGCACTAGTTAATCTGGTGTTACTTTTTTCCTCCATCATGGTTAGATTTACTGCCTTATTTATGTGGTACAATTAACCCAGTTGCTAAGACATTGGAGAATTTGTCACGTACAGGAAACACTAAATTATCTTTAGCTGAGGATATCATCCTCGCTAGCCTGAACTTAAAGGAGTGCAGTCACTGCAGTTTGGGTTTCAACGGTTTTCTAGTTCTTGCAAATTTCACATTTAGTTTTGTTCCCCAAAGAGTACACATTTCTCTGTCAAGATAAGTTTACATTTTTAACAGAATGTTGTCTTGGCTCCATTTTGATCAAATGAAGTGCCCTTTAATGGTTAACGATTAATGAGCCATTTCCCTGGTTCATTGTCCTTATCACACTCTCCTCTCTTGCTTTCCAAGCTGTTCAGAAAGATAAGATTTCAGTGAAAGTAATGAAAACCAAGTGCAGATGTAGGTAGTAGTAAATGAATAGCTGCAATAGGACACTTTAGAGTCAAGGTTGACAAACTATTGGGGCTGGTTGGATGTTCATAATTAACATTTAAACACCAGTGTTCACTTTTCATTTGCAGCTGCCAAGCTTACATCACTGACTCACTGTCTTTTTTTTTTCTTTTCAGTTCGCTGGAAGAAGAGGGGCTCAGTGTCTCGCAGCCCCCTCAGGGCCATCAGCAGAAGAGGATCTGCCTCTGACAGCTGGAACTGAACCCCAGCTTTCAACCCTTCAAACATGGGACCACATTAACCTGATGACAACCTCAAGGATGTCAGCACTGATGGGAGGAGGAGGAGGAGGAGGAGGGAGGGAGGGGGAGTGATTACAAGACAGAAGGATGGGACAAAGGGGATAATCCGGGAAGGGGGAAAGTCCATATTTGGACTCTGCTTGTGAGTGGATGCCGTAATCAGTGAGCAAGGGCATGGACTTGAAGGTTTTTGACGCAGCAAAGTTTGTCCGTTAACGTCTGCAAGAGTGGCGTCCAATGTGGCACAAAATGCTGTTAACGGCCGCCTTTGTTCACCTGTCGTCAGCTACGTGAGGACTTGTGACTGGCCGCGAGCCATTTGCAGACCGGACTGGTTCATTTCCATTGCTGTTTTATTTGTTTTAAGTTGTCTACTTGATACTCAACCACCAAAGAGTTTGGACTGCTGGAAAAGAGACTAACAGACAATGACACCAGCCGTTGGCCAAATGATCAACAGACGACAACAAAAACTGGAAAAAGACAACGAGAGCTTTTTTTAAAAAATTTCCTTGAAGACTGACTTTTATTTAACTGACGTATGTGACAGGTCATGATGTTTTAATGTATCTTATTTTAACCCTGTGGCACTAGCAAGCTTATATCTCATCTTTTTTTAAAGTGGATGGCGGAAACAACGCTTTTAACCTACATTGCAAGAGTTTTGAGAGATTACATAGGTGTCAGGTTGTCAAACAAACGTTAAGCAAAATTGATTATAGTCTGTGATGCAGGTCGTATGTTCTGAGCACTTAAAAGGTGTAAAATTTGACACCTGAACGCATCACAATCTAAATTCACATTGTTGTATCATTTCTTACATTTTAAGAGGTTAGTAGCTTTCATGAATCGTAGGACAGGCCCCAGCACCTACATTATAAATGGTGGAGGGGTGGGAGAACCTGCAGGGTCAACAAAATCCTTCACTCTGGCACCACAGCAGCATCCTGCATAAAGAAAACAACAAAAAAGAAAAAAAACCAAAAAACAGATCCTAACTGTCCACTGCAAGTACCTATTTGCATTTACGTGGAAAAACACTCGGCCATGACTTGCAGGGCTTGTTTGTGTCCGATCACTGGGAACGTTGTGTTCCCGTGTCGAGCCTCCGTGTGGAATGCGCGGCCATGCACCTGCATTCCAATAGGCCGAAATTCGAGACAGAGAATCTTCTTAAAAGCCCCCCCCTCCGGAATTCTTCGCCATGCCCGTCCATGACTTTGCATAGTGAGCTGCCTCGTCAGTCGATGCTACAATGTGCGTTTTAACTCTGAGCCCGTGACTTGTTCACATTTACCAAAGCCATAAAAGGTGCCTAACTACTTCAGTTACAGTGACGCTTACAGGCTTTGATATGTGCAGTATTGCATAACACGCTCTCATGATGGTGATTTCTGTCTTAAGGTTTACAAATGAGAGACTTGATGATTAGTGGTACACCTTAAGGCTACCATTCAATTGTCATTTTGTGTTTCCTGACCAAAACTAAGCTAGAAATGATGCCTTTTTTTTTGTTAAACAGGAAAGGTGTTTTTTGACTGATGTGCCACTGGGTTTTTAATTTTAACGTTTTGTACTCGTGGTGTATCTATTTTTTTAAAGCTACAAATGGCGCAGCCCCAATCTCAGGGGTCAAAGTGCCCGCTTTAATGCGTATTTAATCAATGTACTGTTATGTCATTGTACATATTTAATTAAATATGTATTTTATGAAATATTAAAACCTTTTATACAACATTTTTTGTTTGTCTATACATGTTGTTCTCACACTGCTGTAACTTTCAAGAATACAAATATTTAACCAGCTTTAACTCCTACTGCTTTGACCCTGATGAATGATCCCGTTTTCAGGCTTGAACGCTCAACTTTTAAAATGTTATATTTGGCCTGAAGAAAACAGAATTCCTGTCGTTAACTGTGTGTGTGTGTGTGAGAGAGAGAGAGATTGAATGGTTTGGGGGGTGGCAGGGCAAGACATTCGGAGAGGTCCTGGGATGTTTAATCTCAGTCATGTGACTCATTTCCCAGGGTTATTTCTCCACATTTTCAAGAACTCTCATACATGTGACTACCCTCTAACTGTCGTAAAAATGCAAATACAGCTCCAAGGGGACAGCCTTGAAAGAAATGGGTTCGTACAGGTTACATAAACACAAAAATCAGTAAACACAAATTACCTAAATAGTCTTTCTGATGAGATTTTACACATTTGAACCAATTTGCTGTCCTTTTTTTTTTTTTTTTTAATTCAAGAAGTCAGTAAAAGTGCACTGAGAACATCTCAACTTGATGTGGATCACATACAATCACAGTCACTCCTCTCCAGATGAATCCTGCTGACTGCTGGTCACCCCGGAGCTCTCTCTGTGTCGCTGTAACTCCAGTAGGGACTTCACATGAAGACGCCTCAGAGGCTTCACCTCCTCTACCACTGAAAGGAGAGGAGATCGAAAAAAACAATTCACTGACACCTTAAAATTCAAAGTGAGCTAAGAGTGAAGTGGAAGAAAGGCCGCATGTCTGACCCCTTTTTGTAATGTAGCTAAACAGCACCACCTGCTGGCCCTCAATAATAGCTTCAAATCAAATGATGCACTGTCTTTGCAACGTTCCGTGGGACAAAATCTCAAAGTAGCAGTCTGTGACGCTGCTCTCCAAGATGTCCTACCTTTGTCATAGTGCAACTCGTCCCGGTTCCCGTAGACCACATACACCTCCAGGAAGTTGAGGAGGGCCCCTGTGACGAGGAAGCAGTCAGTGAGTGGAAGGCTTTTGATGTAACGCATGTCCAGGGCGAAAGGGTTGGAGGGAGAGGGAACGGTGCACAGGCACACCAGCTCACTCACGATGTCCCATATACGAACACCTGAAAGAAAAACACAAAACTGTGATAAAAGTGTGTAGAAGTCTAGCAGTTATAACCTGGAGCTTTTTCCACAAACCTAATCCACACCATACAGTAGTCTCTAAGAATGTCAGACTCGAGCATCTGCATCTCGTTTAGTTCATGGAAAATTGTGTAATTATTGAATCTGTGCAGTGAAACAATAACTTTCTCCTGTTTGGATTCCTCACATTGTTTCCATACCTCGTGTCTGCCAGTCTGCGATGGACTTGAGCTTCATGGGCGTGTCTTTGACCATCGAATCGGTGCCTCCGATGTTAACCAGGCGCTCGTGATTGGAGCGTATCCAGGCGTAGGGCCGTCCCGTACTTGACGTAGCCAGCCAGTAAAAACAGAGTGCAGTTCACCTCCTGTCGAGGGACAGAGTGGAGGTTGAGGACTGCGAGTTAATGCCTGAAATTCAAAGAGTCTGGCCGAAGCACTTACAGGCACTGCTATCTCTCTTTCGCTGGGGGAGGCTGGGAGAAGGTGCTCCTCGCTGCTGGGCTCCCTGGGGACACAGAAAGAGGTCAATCAATGTGTTTGTGGCTAAAGTCTGCATTTCAAGATCAAGTCTGTCCTCCTGTATGAGTTTATGATACGAGTTTGAAAAAGGCTGTTGGAGGGTTAAACAATTACATCTGCACCTGGGAGCAGTAAAATGCTTTGTTAAGGCCTAATTTGTAGTATTTACTTAAACCTTAATTTAATACCAATGCCTCTATATGACCTACATAAGCACATTGAAGATTGGCTGTTTCTATATAATTATTCTTAATGCCTGCAACCAGGTCAGATTTCCCCTTGAAATCAATGAAACAAGGCGGTGGAAACACTACCGCTTTTGTCCACAGGGGTCGCCAGAATGAACAAAAATAATGAAAATTCCTTATTGCTACTTTAACAAGGAGCGTGTACCAGTGCGTCCCATTGAAACAAATGTAAAGAACCAAGCATTTTCTGCATGACCAAATACTTAAAGAATGACTCGATCATTACAGTAAAAGTTCTGCCGATCACCTCATTAATTTTCCGCACAATAGCGACATCTTCCTTCAAAGGGGAACCATTCTGTACAGTACTAACAGGAAGTGAGGCACCAGTGGATGTCAGTCAAGATGCTACTATATAGGCCTGCTGCCCAATTAAAGATTTTAAAACATCACAATTATGAGCAAATTTTAAAAATGTCACAAACATCAAGAGCTTCCCCCTGAAACAAAACACATATGTTACCATTTGCAGACACACAAAGTAAGTGGCATCAATCACCTGGTGGGCTGTGGCTGCGTCTTGGTGTGTGTGTGCAACTCGGGGTCTCGTGGGCCCGGAGGCTCCCCGGGCAGGGGTGAGCTGCTCCGGCTGTCCACGCTGGGTGAGCTGCTGCTGGGGGACACATTGCTGCTGTTACAGCTGCTGGTGGAGGAGTAGGTGGAGGCCCTGGAGACAACAAAACCTGGGGAACGCCACCCCTGCAGAACAGGCAAACAGGTTCAAGGGAACAGGGTAATTCCTGCAGTCACTGACGATGATGATGATGAGATGATAAATACATGAGGAAATATGCAAGTCAGTCAGTCAAACCGAGCAGCAGTTTGTGCCAAGAATTATAGTCCATAAAGTTAAGGATTATCTCTATTTTTTACCACACTCTTTTTTGGTAAATAAGTAGCTTTTATTTAATTTATCTAGCTTCTTAAATGTAAGCTGTGTGTGTCCTGAGATCTCTACAGAAACTAACCAGATCCTCATTAACAACCGTCAGCAGCAACTCCTCTTTCCCTCTTAGCCAAGGCTGGAAGTATTTAAATCCCTGCAACAGAAACAAGATCATTTGCAAGAAATAGTTTGACCATGTGTTGTTGTTTTTTGGGGGGTTTTTTGCATGTGCATTCACTAACCTGTAGTGATCCGAGTAGAGCCAGGTCACTTAGAAAGTGCTGCAGCTTCCTCCTCTGCTCCCTCTCTCTCTTCTGGTCAAAAGGGAGACAATATTCACGTTAAAGGCAAGACACAAATAAGCATTTAAAAAAAGATTCCTCAAGTCAATCAAATTAAACATCCCCAGGAGCCCCATCAGCCCCCTCCCCAGTCTAGTATCCTAGCAACACGTGCAACGCCTCCTCGCAGCATCCTGCATCTCTAACGACAATAAAGACTTCGTTTACATTAGGCCTAAAGGATGCAAAATGGGGGGACATGAAGATTGTAAATCGTGACAGTGCATGCAAAAAATATGCATCAGGCCGACTCCCCTCTAACATAATCTCCCGATTCCGAGTCAGAATCCAGCAGCTGATATAAAGGAGCACATTATGAAGGAAACAACTCACACTGCTCATCTTGGGACCAAATCGCAGACAGCGTCGTCTCCTTCACGGCCGATCATGACATACTAACACTAAAAGCTTACATTATGCTGTTTCACTCTTTCATTTCTCCTGCAGACAGACGGACCGAGGCTCTGGGGTTTTGTTCTCCTCGGGTGTTGTCTTGTCTTTTGTGCAGCATGAAGTCAGTTTGGTAATGGGAGTGTGTTAGCTCCCTAGCGGTCATGTTGGCAACTACATTTTTAAAGCTCCAAACAACTGCGAAGATAGTACAGTAAAGTTTCACTCTGTTGAGGCAGTGCAGCAAAAATTCCCCTGACCACATAACTTAAATGTGAAAATATTAACATGAGAAAGTTAAATGTTGTATGGCTTACAGCTTTCTGAAATAAGCACCTTTATTTTTGGCCTTTGAGTCAATATATCTAACTAATATAAAATACTTGAGGCAGGGAAATAGTGCTATTCTCAGGACAGAAAACACATTTTATGAATACAATAAGAAAGTTAAGGAACATCTATTCCCAAACAACTACATATACATGTAAGAAATCTGGCCCTAAATATTGACAAACTATATATAGTATCAGTTTTTTTTTTACACCTTTGTACATACTAAAAAAAAAAATAAATTTCTCTAAAATGCTTTTTATATCTCTTTGCCTAAGTTGTAACTTGTGGATGTCAGTCAGTTAGCCTTAACATGCCTGCAGCTTGGCTAATACATAATCTCTGCTGTGATAAACCCCCTTTAAAGGCTACAACTCATACACAAAACAGATTTTAAGATACTTGTAAAGACACTGAAGCGAATGTGTTAAATTCATCCATGGTAGGAGAAGAATATATATATTTTTTTAGCAGCTTTCTCTTGAATGAGCGTTTCTCATCCATAATTTAATACAAATCCCCAACATCAGACAAACTTTACAGCAGTGTCTTCATTTGACAAAAATAATCACTTTATTCAGTGAGAGTCAGGAACTCAAAGTGGGATGTGGGAATCAACAGATTAACATAATGTGCAAAAAGAGCATTCATCAACAGTGCAGTAAAGGATCAGATCTTTAAAAACATTGTCATGTTAGGTCCTAGGATTGGCTGTCTTCACAGAAGACAAAAGACGGTTCAGAACTAGAAGGTCTTGGAGGCGAAGTGAACGAAGAAGGTCCTGATCTCTTTGGGTGAGATGGTCACAGTGAAAGCTTCATTCCCACAACTCCAACACCTTTCCTTGTCTGAGATAAAGAAAGCAAAAAAAACAAAAAACAGGAATGAGGAAACTAGTATTTTCATAAAATGTACATATTAATGCCAGCAACAAGTCTCACTTGTTTCTAAGTTATCTGCAGTCTTCCACTTCCATCTCTGCAGACCGGTGATATCCCATGTTCCTGTGAGAGAACGCTCCTTCAGCGCTTTTACTTCTCCAATGCCCTGCAGAACATCCTGTTCACATAGGAAATCCATTGAAAAAGAAAACATTTTGTAAATTCTATTTTAAAATTATGATAATGCAAGGCTTTCCTCTTACAACACTGTGACATTAATATGTAGGAACCTTCAAGTTTATGGTGACTGGCTTTGAAAGCTCCGGGTCTTCCCCCTCCTCGAAGAGATGCATGATCCTTAACAGGACCCGATCGTAGTCTGGCTCCGAGTGCAAATCCTTACCTAGAAACATTATAGAAAAAACACGCCTAACATTAGTTTTCTGATGGCTTTGCCTAAGAAAAATTCAAATGGGAGTTTTATGCACTCATGTGTCTTACAGCTGACCTGAGTGAACGTGGCTGAGGTGAACATCGTGATCAGAGCTGTAGTTCCATCCAGGGATACTGAGGCTGAGCAGGTGGAGGTTGGGCGGGAGAACGACTGAACGCACAGGAGAACCTCCCCTGGGTTCCTTCTCCTGCCAAGGCCTCTCTTAAAGTACAAGAGATGTGGGAGTTCAGTCAGCCAACAAAATATAATGTCTGAGGGCTTTAAAATGCAACATTAGTGCTGAAAAGCAGTGAAAGAACCAGGGACTCATACTGTTACGCCTGTTTATTCTGTATTTTCCTCCGGTGAGCGAGTATTATATTGTCTCGTCTCACTGCTTTTTTTTGTATGTGATTGATATGACTGAATGTTATGTTACATTTTCTGTAATAGCCTATTTCCGAGCCATGAATTCTACCGTATTTCCAGCCAGAGGGGCATGTCTCTTTCAATTGCCTATCCCAAGGTTTCTATTACTTCTTTTTTCTTTCATTTCAAACTTGACATTTAACTCATAAAAGAGAGTGATGTCCTTGAACAAGTAAATACATTTCTAAAAATCCTCTGTAGTTGACCCCAAGTACTCACCTGTGGGAGAAGAGTTTTTTGCAGAGATTTAAGTATAAGGTATTACATTATTCCCGTGTCGCCCAGGTTTACCCATTACAATTGTAATATGACACCTTTTCAACTTTTTGCAAACCCTTTTTAAAAAAAAAAAAAAAAATTGTAATTGTAAATAAAATAGAGTTTTTGATGTCATGCAGTCCCTCCTCCAATAAATAAGCACTCACGAGGTTGGTCTATGGGCATGACGACAGGTCTGTGCTGCAGCTCTATTGCCTCCCTCTGGTAGAGCTTGGAGGTGGCACTGACGGAGCCCAGCGTCATCCACAGGGTGGGCCTTACCACCGAGCTGTCGTTGAGCGTCAGGTTGTAGCCGAGGTTCCAGGCTAAGTTGTTCCAAAGACGGCGATGGAGCATGACCTGGAGGGAAACACGCGGGATGTTAACATGTTTCTAAATGGGAGGGGTTTCATCTTTATAGGTTTCCTTTGTTGGTTGTACCTCTAGTTGTCCGTTGGCTTGGCTGGACACACCGTGAGCTCTGTCGCTGACCAGCAGCAGTCTGCTGAGGTCATCCTCAATGTAGGCTGTCCGAACCATGGGGAAGTAGTTCTGCAAAATGTATATATAGATTATTCTACATATTCAAATATTTTGTTCTAAATCTCAAGAGCCCAGTTTACTGAAGGCCTTACTCTGGCTAAAGTGTTATTAGTGAACTTCCTGTATGTCCTCTCCATCATCTGATAGCCATTGTCATCTGTGAAAAGGGTCCTGTTGTTCTTCAAGGAGGAGCTGGTTCTGAGGACGACCTCTGTGTTGAGACGAAGGGGGCCCAGCGAATAGGTCTGCTCCAGCCTGTGACACCGCGCTTTGCTCCCAAAGCATTCTGGGACACGTGTGGTGATGGAGTAGGCATAATCCTTATCACTTTCCTCTCTAGAAAGTGTTACAATGAGAGCGAATGTCACTATTAATAAGAATTAGTGGAAAAAAAAACATTGGAACAAAACCATGAGAGATGCAAGGGACAATTTTACCCACCTGTAGAAGTGCTGCCTGACCTCCGTCACAATCTTCCCAGGGATAATCTCCATATCCACAGCCTTGTAGGCCCGGACAGCCGAAGCGTTAGCGCTGAAGATGTAGTTATCAGAGATGGGCCCCGCTTTTACGTCTCCATTTGCGTGGTACTCCCAGAAATCCTGAGTCATCCTCACTCTCCTTTTTTCTGGACTGCGAAAGATGACAGAGAGGTAAAAAGTTAGAGAGTTACGCTAACATAGGAAAAAAGTGGGTGATAGACAACTAGGGCTTTCAACTAATATGTTAGTACAATATCATGTTCTTTAAATTAGTATGGTGTCTAAACAGGAGGAATGAGTGGGAGAACGTGTGCATCGTCAACAGGAATGTAAACAACGCTTAAACTACTCCCTATGTGTAGTACTACTTAAGATTATCTGCGTGGGCTGTGAGAAATCGGAACTCGACTTGTCACAGCCCAATCTGTTTAAGAGGCTGAACATCTTACAGATAAGTGATACTGTGCAGTAGGTTCGTATCCTGGTCAAACATCAGCTTGTAACATTCATTCAGAACAGGCAGAAGCCTCCTCCCGGTTTTCAACGAGTCCCGGACGTTTCGTCTCTCAAACAGAACCCCTTTGGCTACGTAAGTCCAGCCGCACTTAAACCTCCCAGAGCACTGCTTCTCCGAGAACTTAATCCGGTATTTCCTGTGCTGAAGGCCTCCAAGTTCCACCATGATGAAAAGATCATAGGTCGCATTGGACTCTGCAGACCTCTGGATCTGTGACAGACAAAGGAAACTTATTATCATTATTATAATAAATTATATCAGGGTATATTATAGAGATATGTTTCTGGAATGCAAAAACAAAGTAATCTACAGGAGAAGGAACATTTATAAATGCTTATTTGTCACTATAAAACAGATATTAAACTGTTCATTTATTATAAAAGTGACTTTTTGTGTCGCTCTAACTGCATTTTCTTGACAAGAAACACATAGTACTCATACGAATGAAATGTTGCCGTCCGTTTTCATTAAAAAAACAACAATAACAATACTACCTGTGCAGGCACAGGCTTTCCATCATCATCAAAGACGGCTGCGGTGGGGGAGGTTACAGTGACGTTGATGATAGTGGTCGTGTTCCATGCTAACGGGTTGTAAACGATGACATGTTGCTCCAAAGCCTGATGAACACCTAGCATGAGCAGATTAAGGACTCATTTATTTAAATAGTGGCCCAAACGTTTAAGAAAACCCCTTGTTGACTGATATTCAAGTGTTAGCAGTCGGCTCAAATCACAAATGATTCTAAAAGCTCATTTTTAGTTCTTTTGTGCATTAATTACTGTTTAGAGTTGCTGTTTAAAGGAAATACTTGCTTCCTTTCAGAGAACACACTTTTTCTGTGGTAGTGGCTGCCGAGGATGCTGGGCAAGTCGAGGTTGTGGGGCAGCAGGAAGAGTGCGGCCAGGAGCTCCTCCACTCCCATCATGGCCTGCATGAGGTGCTGCAAGTACATATCTGCCACCTTGGGAGACTCTGTGCCAGTGATGCCATCATGATGCTGGACCTAAGAACACCAGTCAATAATACTTTGTGCCTAAATCAAACTAAAATTGAATGCTCTCTAATTCACTTTATCGTGTATTTCACCATCAACATACATTATTAGCTCTATTTGTTGTTAAAGCAGTCATATATATTCTGACAAATTACCTCTGAGACCGCCCAACGAAGCGCCCTCAGTTTGTCTAGAGCCCAGTCTTTAGCTACAGGTCCGTCTGGGAAGCTGATTCGGTACCGGGTGAAAAGAGTCTCCGCTGCATGCAGCTGGGAGCTGGCCCGCCGTGCCACTCCTTTCAGAACATTTCTGGAGGCGTAAAATCCCGTCCATGCCTGGTGCGGTTCTAGGAAAACAAAACAGCCACAGAAGATGACATCAAGGACACTGTACCTCATTTTCTTCCTTTCATGTCAAGCAGGTGATTCTTTATATTGTGTTTTAAGGTGCAGACTCTAACCGGTGGAATATGGTAGAAAATCTTCACTCTCGCGGAGCTCCCAGACAAGATTTGATTGGTAGATGGCTTTAAAGTATTCACCGAGAGTGGCATACTGGACTGTCACTCCAAACTCTTTGCTGTTCTGGTTGATGTACTTCATTAGAGGATCCATGTTGTTGAACTGGACAGATGAGTTGTAGAACTGTTTGTCACAGCCCTGGAACACAAAGGGATTTTTAGTCACATGTTCACAAAGAAGGGAGTATATTGAAGGACAATAATGTTAAAAACTGATGCTTTTCAGCCATCAAACAACAAGGATCACATGTTTCTATTTACTCACCCATGGCCAAAGCACATGGTTCGTCCTAAACCACGCAGCCCTTTGTTTGATGTTGTCCACCATAGTCTTGGCGTAGGCGTGCACTGTCTCCTTAGTGACGGGCAGGCTCATGTTGGGGTAAACGCCGTCTTTAGGGGGATCGGGGAACAAGGCAACTCCATTCCAATAGAAACCGGAGCTGAGACGCAAGAATGAGTTTGCTTTTAATGAAAAATCCTGTCTATTCGATAATACTAATTTAATGAATATGGATATGGAACGGAGGTAAAAATTAAATGTTTAGGTCAAGACTTCAAGGCACTTCCCAATTTTCAGTATGTGCTAATTTGTTACAGAAACAGTGAAAATAAATCAGTAAAGAAACATGGACTACCTGTTGGAGAATGGAAGGTATGATGGGGTGCAATAGCTAAACTGGTCCATAGTGTGAGTGAAGATCTGCTGCTTCTCTTTTAGAGAGGGAGAACCTCTCCATACAAACTGTAGTTTCTGTACCAAAATAACGCACAAACAACATGCAGTGACTTTTTTGTACCTTTTTAAGATTAGATTCAATGATGCTGTATGAGAACAGCTCCAAAAGAAATATGTTCTTTAGGATCGAGGCTTCAACAAACACCTTGTTTTTCTGCATGGTGTCTTTGAGGTCATAGTCAATGCGAGAGATGAGGTGGCCGTTGAACCCAGCCAGGGCAAAGAGGACCGGCGTGGTGGCCGAGGCTCCAAATGGATCCACGTGCCAGGAAAACTGAGGACGCACCCCGAACGTCTCGTAGAGGAAACCGTGTCCCTCTGAAACAGCACAGGAACAAAAGGCTCCCACATATTCTCTCAAACTGATATGTACAGGGGCAGGAAATGTGTAGTACTACCTGTCATTTGTAATATCTCATCGTCTAGATCCGTTACAGCCTCGTCGTGCATCACCTGGCCCCCGATGATGAACTCGAGTCGACCCTCTTTTACAAGCTGTCGCACCTAGAAAGCAAAAAATGTATTAACTGTGTATTTAAAGGGTCACTCCAACAAATTTACATACAAAGATCAGCTTACTTGTAATGAGAAGAACTACTCAGCCTGTAAAAACAGGGACTAAAATCAGGATATCCCGACCTCTACTGCATTGATTCTGACCACACGTTTATCTTGCACGTGATTTATTGCGACTATCTCCTGTCAGTACAGATTATTGACCCATCATGTGTCCTTACCTGTCTCTTATGGGAGTCTGTGGCCACAGTATCCCACCACAGTCGAAAGAACTCCTGCTCCACAGCGATGAACCTGCGGTCTTCGGCCTTTGACAGCTCCTCGGTCACACTGGTGTACACATTGGCTGCATAGGCGTGCATACTCTCCTGTGGAAAATACACACTCATATTCAGTATGTGACATAAAAAATATACAAAATTCATAAACAGCATATGGGTTAACAGTGGTTTAATGAAAGGAAACTGTTAAACAGCAGGCTGCACAATGTATGCTTGTCAAGTTTACCACCTCATTAGGAAGATGGGGACAGAAACCTACCTGAATAGTGTACACCCAGCCAACATCCATGTGACTGTGAGGGATTACAAATGTTTGAATTGGCTCGTTTTCGCCTGTCACTCCATCTGAGCAACAGCGACAAAGAAAAAACACCAAAACTGATAAAAATCTCATCTTTCTTTAGCCCTCTCAAACCTTCCTCCCCTGGACTTCCTTATTATTGTTGTGCTGCAGCATGTGACTCTGACGACTCGCATATGGTCACTACGGAAGCCCAGGGAAAAAAAAAAAACTAGCTTGACTTAGCTAGAAAGTTAAAACCGTGGTTTTGGTTGAATGTAGAGACAGTGGTTAAAGTGGGGGGATGTTTATTTCATTCATAAAAGAGGACTGGATTGGAAAGACGAGTTTAAAAATGAATGCACACTGAGGGAGAATAACACCTGGAGGTGGCAGTAAAGCTGCAGTAAATCCGAAAGACGAAGAAGAAGTTTACACCGGAACCAGTCATTGTGTACATTTGGAGGTGAGGGTGTTACATCCGATGCAACATTAGACACATTTTAAAATGTCCAAAAACAGGAGAATCGTTTTGGTATTTGGAGGTTTTGTAACGGCGGTCGCTGCTGCGTTTTACCCCATATTTGTCTACCCGCTCACACATAAAAGCGAGTACAGTAAGTGTCTCACAGCTTCCTTTAACTGTAAGTTACACAACCAGACAGTTCACAGTGTTTTAGTTTAATGTCATTTATGTTGCTGTGTGTCCATATCTGAGCACTGTGCTGTTTATTTCTTGTTACAAACCTCAATGTACCTTGGCGACGTTAACGAGCCTGAAGCTACTTTTGGCTTGTTATGCTAATGGTTATTAATGTTTATCTTTTAACGTTGTAGCTCATTTTATGGCACTTTCTCAGTCTTGTCTCATTAATGTAACTTTGTGAGAGTTTAATCTTAACTAAAACATTTAACCAAAGCTTTTTATGATAGCAAAAGAGTGGGAAAAAAAATGATTACATAAACTAATACATGTGGCTAACGTTGGATATATGGTGTTATCGCGATAAAACAAAATCGTGATCATCGTAGATCAGGATAATCATCAATATCCTCACATGACTTGACTCTAAAAAGCTGTCTATCTCGCCAGCAGACAGCCCTATATTTGATTTCCTGATTAGGGGGGGTTTCTAACTGCACACCCACAGGTTTCCTTTCCACTTTTCCAAAACCGTAAACAGGTAGTTAAAACCATCTAAGACAAAGATGGAGCGATGCCAGGAAAATTCATTTTGCTAAATAGTTGTAGTACAGCCACTCCACTTATTGGACAGTCCTTTCAGTCTGAGCCGTTTCTGGCCAGCACAGATGGAAAGCTACAGCCGGGACATACAGTAGATAAATAAACTTCTTCCAGTGTTACTGACAGACAAAAGTGTTAAAGTCCTGGTTATGACATTGATTGTGACCATTAACTTCTTCTTCCTAATGCTGTACCTTTCTCTCTTTGCTAGGAGAAGTCCAAAAGATGAACCGGACAGGAATCAACCAGGCAGACGTTCAACCTGTGGGTAAGTTGGTACGATGTATGTACAATGTATGTTCGATGTATTAGCCTATACAAATACCCTGATGAAGGCTGTGTAAACTGAAACACCTCAATCAGTCAGAATGTAATGGACTTTCATTAATGGAATATTAATATAATTTACAAAGGCCCCTCACATATGTTGTTTGGTTTACAGCAGATATAGGGAGTTTACATTATAAGTCAATCAATTTTGAGAGTTGTACCTTTCCAATGTACCTAATAACTTAACAGAATTTAAACTTGTAGGCACCCACGTTGTTATTTTATCGTGAGCCAAACTCATCTAGTACTTCAAGTGTGGTACATGTTATTCAAAACGGGTTTGGTAAGAGCAGGGACTACTCCGTTATGTGTATTTACAGTACCTTAGTGGTGTAATATACATGCTGACAGTTTTTTATTTTTTATTTTTTGTGTAAAGGTGTGAAGATATGGTCTGATCCATTTAAGCCTGCAGGAAAATGATGACCAGTGACAGCTAACCCCTTCACTAATCCCAGACACTGATGCTGATGAAGACTTAAAATAGAGAGTGCTGTGTGTGTGTGTGTGTGTGTGTGTGTGTGTGTGTGTGTGTGTGTGAATGCTTTCCAGAATGAGGTTGTTGAATAAATATGAATAAAATGTAAAGCCCTTATAACTAAAAACATGCTTCTTTTGACTTTCTACCACAGTTTCACTCATTTCCAAATTTCTCTTTTCCCCCCACAAGAGGGCACTCCGTACCTGTCTGCTGATCAAAAAAAAAGCACTGGACTGTCTAATGTTTTGTTTGTGCATCTTAGATATTTTGGAAAAACTTTTGTATTTCCAAAAGCCTTGCTCTGGTATGTGGCCTGTAGGAAATTATAATAAAATACAGTGGTTTGTTTACCCATCTTATTCACAAGAATCTCTTTTGACATTTTATTTTGATTTAGTTGGTATGAGAGTCATAAAAACGGTTCAGCAGATGAGGGACAATGTCCAGTAATGTGCGGTATCATCTTCCAAAATGGAAATAGTAGAGTTATTCCAGGACACATCACTCTGTATTATCATTTCCCTGTCACAGACACAGGGTTTAATTGTTGCTTGGCTGTTTAAATGGCATGTGACTCTAGCTGTGTTTTGCCCATAGGCTGAAAGGACGGGGCAGAGCTCCATGGTCGTCTTGTTCAAAATCCTATTCGATGTGATCCAGACTCCCTTTACGAGTCCATGGGTGCTGTAAAAGCAGGGAATTCCAAAACTACAATTTTTCCCCTGTACTTTTGTGGTTTCCTGACATTGACCAGCATCCCCTTTCATAGTTAGGTCCATCAAAGTCCTTTTGGAGGAAAGATAGATTAAGAAAGAACTAAAGCATGTGTTTATGGTCCTTCAGAGATGGTGCATTTTAAAAGTTGCCCTTAAATCTTTCACAGTCCCTGATGTAGCCTGTACTTTCTGACTTTTAGGACCGTTCGCGAGGCCCGCTGCCAGCAAAACCGACTGCACGGGCCAGCAACGGCCACTCTCCTTCTCAACCCCCCAATCAACAAGCCCCATTGTTTATGAGAGGTTGTTATTGTTGGGCTGCATTCAGAAACAAGAGAAAACTCAAGAGCCCGGCTGTGCGGAGGCATCCAAAGTAAAGAGAGCAAGGGGTGAGGGGGTGGTTGAGGAAAAAACGAAAAGCAGAAATTCCTCTCATTCCCCGCTGGTGTTTTCCAGATTCCTCAAGCGACAGCTTCTCGGCTGTGCGAGTGAAGTAAGCAACCAGAGGGGAAATTGAAGAGAACTGCGAGAGGAAGAGAACCACATTCTTGAGGGGACGCGTCACCTACATACAGAATAGAAAGACACTCAATCTCTGTTACTTTGCCTGGCAAAGCATGTAACAGGTTGTGCAGCATGGTCTTCAGCTTTTTAGTCTTGCCTCTCCATGAATCACTGTTTGAATCACGGTGACACCATGACAGTTAATTTCAGACATTCCTCCTTCTTTTCTGTAGCAGGCCTGAAGTCTGTACCAGGTTTTTATATTCTGTGTTGTCTAGTCCTCTTCATGCGACCCTTGTCCCATTCAGCTGAATACGTAGATAGACACCCATCACTATAAAACATTCAATAGGGTCACTATAAACCAACATGAACTCAACAATGTCGCCTCGGCAGCACTTTTACTACCCCGCTGTTAACCCATCACACAAATCTCCCCCAGCTATTGAGGAGGGGTTTTTTTTCGGAGAGTGGTGGCACATCGTCGATCTCAGCTGCTTGTTAGGCGTGTGTTCAAAAGCAGCAGATAATTGGCCAGGGTTTCTAACTAATTGCCATGGGAACAAGGGTTGACAGACAGGTCACGGGGTTGGAGAAACAGCAGAGAGCATTCGGGGAAGGGGTGGGATGTGAAATACGAACGGAGCAAACGCCTCGCTCATATTATGTCAAGTGTGGTAAACAGAAACAGAAAATAACAAGTGAACAAAAAGAAGAACTTTGGAGAGCGCTGAAGAGCTTCTTGATGACAGAACTGTTGAAGTGTTTCTTGTTCTTCTTGTTTATTTGCTAGTACACAATTAATGAGGCACATGCTCACATGCAAACAATGCGGTTGTTTCATTTTTTTTAGTTTGTAACACATTGCCCTGTTCAAGATAAAAGCCAGTATTCCTGATTGACGTACAGCGTTTATGACATTGGTGATTCAAAGCAATCAAAAGCAACATAAACTTCAAATACAGTCCACAGTAGAAGTCATATGTAGCAGGGGAAAAAAAGGGGATGCAACATCAATAAGTTAAATTATAATAACCAACAAATACAACATAGAAAAAAAAACACATCCAGATGTTTTCCATCAGATTATGCAATACATCTACGAGAGAATACAGATGTGTCAACATAACGGAAGAGCAAAAGTTGAAACTAAATTCTGTTTGTTGGTACACAACATGGTCCAGCTTAAAACATCAGCAACATCAGGAGTGTATGAAAGATTTAGTCCAAAGACAGAAAGACAGGCCGAACAATTAATACATTTTTAAAGGAAATAATAGTTTCAGCTCTATTAAGACAATGTAGACGGCTACAACTAACAACCATCATGTGTAGTCTTGAGTCTAGATTTCCCCCGAAGTCAGTGAATTAACAAAATACAAATAGCTGTATCTTTACGAAATTGTGCTCTGGAATCTCTTTTTACAGAGAGTATTATAAATATAGAAAAGAAATAGCCTAAAGAAAGGGGATGAAGTGACAGTGTACAACGTCTATATTGCTGATCAATGTCATAGGGCAGTAATTAAACCTGTATTCAGTTTATGAAAGCATTTATTGCCCACTAAAGGAGCACTCTACCAATTTAGCATTACCCTTCTATAACACTGCCGGACTCACGATGGACACTCTTTAAAAAAAAGGGTCAAAATCAATAACCCCAGAACCAGAGATATCATCTTTTCATCCCAAACATTCTTCTTCTTTGTCAGAACCTTGGCTCCTACATTACCCACAATGCAACTTGACTGTGTGGATTCAGGCGTTCTTGTAGCGGCTGATGTAGCCCTCGAGCACTGATGAGGAACGGGCTACAGACGTCTGCTGAACTCGCGTCTTTCTAACTCTGCAACCCCCGGATTGTTTGTTCAGACTCGTAGTCTTCATCCGCAACTGACGCTGACTCACATTACATCACTTGAGGCAATGTATCAGAGTTATACAGCATTTTTTCACATATACAGTAGGGGCTGCCCAACACCTGTAAACAGACTTTGGAGTGTAAAATCAGTGGAGGACACAATTGATGCACTTTATTTGTAGTTTCTTTGGACTACACACGGTAAATACAATGGTCTGTATTCTGTGTTTGACTGATGCAGTACAATCACATGCATGCGAATCCCTGAAGCAATGACTACATTCCACCAAAGATGTCGCCAATATCGTGGATAAAAACAAAATTCAGCTCACAAGTGCAAACACTTGGTTAAACAAGAATCTGCATTACACATCTCAAACACGCTGCTTAGCCTTGTAAAACAACGTACCAGAGCTCCGTCCGCATTCTTGGGTCAGCAGGCGCACGGCTGTGGAAACAGATAGTATAAGTCTGAAGCAATGTCTAGGAAAAAAGGCACCGGCCAGGCTCGCAGCAGGCAGGCGAGGCAAACTGCCCCAGTGACAGTGTGGTCTGGAGCGAGCTAGAGTTACATTTAGTGCGCAAGTGTGTGTGTGTGTGTGTGTGTGTGTGTGTGTGTGTGTGTGTGTGTGTGTGCGCGCATGTGTCATTCAGGAAAGAAAGTTCAGCTAAGAGGAACCCAGTATCCCCTGGAGACTAAACTGTGGTTGTGGAACTTACTGGAACTCCAAACATCGTGTGTGTGCTTTTGTATTATGTTCATATTTGCCCAAAGCAGGACCACAAATAGATAATTATGGTTTGTTTTAGGTTGCATCTGTGTTGCCCAGTCGTGAAGGCATTGCAGTTCATTGCTGCGGTGTGTCATTTCTTAGCTGAAGCCGTGTGCATAGAGAGCCAATGGTAAAGGGCAGATGATGCAATGATGGTTTGTCTGCTCTCTCCCTCTTGTTGGCTGATGTAATTTAGACTCTTACCGGAACCTTCAGTTACATATAAACAGGCTGTACAGCTATCTGGCCACCCAGCAATGCACGTGTGAAAACATGTTATGCGGTTTTTCTTTTGCCTTTGAAAGTCTGTTTTTAGCTGAGCTCATTATAAACACTCATCTAGTAATTAAGAGTTGACATTCTTAACATAGTAATTTTCACGATATTTAGAATAGTAATTAGCAACCATTCTTGTTTTGGGATTTAAATGACACGATGGTGCTGAGTAACACGCTTTTTAGCCATGCTAGAAACACAGCAAGACATGGCTCTGAGGATGTCGGCCAAACCCCCTTTGGTCCAGACTGAAATATCTCAGAAACTACTGGATGGATTGCCACAAAATGTATTAAGGCTACAGCTTCCGCCTGCCCCCGGCACACGGCTCCAAAGGTTGGTGATTTGAGTGACATTTCAGTTTATATTAACATTCTTTCCTCCAGCGCCACCATCGGGTTGACCTATGTGGTTTTGTAGTGAAATATCTCTAATTATTGGATGGCATGAGCTGTGGTGATCCCTTAACTTTTCATCTACCACAATCATCACTTTCATCAAAAGTAATGACAATCCCATCAGTCTCAGTACTATACTTAACTTTACGTTTGGTGCTCATTGGCCGTAGACTATTAATCTTGATTTACCACGTTTTGCTGAGATCACTTGTCAATTAGACCATAAATCAAAGAGAACCAATGGAAAACATGAATGTTGGGAGGACTACAATCACTCTTTTTCATCCCTTTTCCAACTTCTTCTTCCTGCAGAATACATGGGCCAGTAGAAAAAGCTTTAATTATATACAGTAAATAATAATAAAAGGATCCTACAGAAAAATACAAAACACAATAAAGGAACACCAAGTGGTCCCTTCTGTATTTATGGCTGCGCTCAATGGGACCTTCTTTCTTCACGGCTCTTCAGGCAGCCAGTGAATGTGATTAAACAACACCTCTGAATGAGGTGAGTAGGAAATTCTCAAATGTGCCTTGCAGAGTGCCAAAAGCCTGTCGCTTGGCTCAGGTCCACATATGGATCTGTAGAGGAAATG